TACCAGGAGTAGTCGCTCTACGGTATCCGTGAGCCTGTCTCTTATACACATCTAGATGTGTATAAGAGACAGCATGTACTCTCACGGAAAGAACAAAAAAAAACAAAAAAAAAGAAGAAAAGTTGCGGTCGTGAACCTCAGAAACGAAAAAAAAAAAAAAAAGGAAACAAAGCTTTGGATGTGATTGCAGTTGTGTACATTCTTGGAAGTGGTAGTGTGAGTGTGCCCTCAATGAGGGCATCTCAGCCCTGTGGCCAGGTTGTCAGATTCCAAAAAGAGAATAAAAGGGGAAAAAAACGGGCACACGGATCTGGCCGTGAAAATAGCTGGATACATTCCCCTTAGTACCAATGTGATGAGGGTTACAATCCTCTGACAAAACACAGCTTGAGCAGATCACGGACAGCTTGAGCAATTCACGGATTCCCCCCTGCCTCATTGGCAGGGGACTTATAAGAAATACATGAGCAAGAAGAAAAAAAAAAAACAGTAACATCCAGAATGTGACCGCCTTACGGGTGAGGTGCATTCTGTGGAGGAAGACTTTGAGCACGGCCTCCAAGACTACCCTGCCCGACATCATTGCAGTAGAGGTAATATTTTCTTTCTTTCCTTTTTCTTTCACTCGCGGGCAATATAAAAATCTCATTTATGGGACACTGCTGACCCTGTGTCCGGCCCCCGAAAAGTTCGGGTACAGGCCAACACATCGTAATTTCCCAACACTGTATGAGGTACTGGTGGTTTAAAAACAACGAAAAAAAAAAAAAAAAAACGAAGAAAGGAAGAAAGAACGAAAGAAAGAAAAAGGAAGAAGAAGAAGAAGAAGAAGAAGAAGAAGAAGAAAGGGGGGGGGGGGGGGGGGGGGGGGGGGGGGCTTGCAGCATGATCGCGGCCTTGCCACGTGGCACGACGCTGATCGTCGTGCCCCTCTCCCCCACCCACCCCCAACCTTTTTATTATTTTTTTTGAAAAATAACGTTACACCACCAGTACCTCCGAGTCTGTTTTTGCCGACCCTGAATTTCACTGCGCTCCGAGTTTTGTCGAGCATGGGTACCACTCCGTTTTCTTTCTGGAGCTCTCACGGAAAGAACAAAAAAAAACAAAAAAGAAGAA